AAAACGTTATAAAATAACAACGTATAGAAAACCAGGTCCATATGACACAAAGTAAAGCGAATTTCATTAAAACTACCGTGGATAACAATTAACATGCATACTGTAAACATAGAGGGACAAATAAAAAACACGGCACACAACATATGATACAAAAATGTTGAATATTTCACTTTATTGCGTATGAATGTGAATCACCCACTACTGGCCATTTGATCTGAGTTGGGTGCCAGAGGTTCCATAATCTAATAATGGAAAGTTGCCAATGCGATTATATGATAACATTAATTATTAATTATTAGAAGCGGTAAGAGTGTTAAAAATGTAGTTTGAGGGACCTTCTCACTGTTCTTTTTGCTTGTAACATCGTCTTCGTGAATCTGGAATGACGCTAGGTAACGGTTCTGAGCGAGGGAATGGAACTCTCAATCTAAGCCTAAGTAGGAAAGGATCATGGGGGATGAGTTGAGTGCTAACTTCATGCGGAAAGTCGGAGTGGAGAGGGTTTCGGCCAATGGGAACTATCTCACTGATGGTGAGGTATCGCACGGCGGTTTACGAAAAGGGATGATCCCCTACAACTACATTTTCACCAAGAAATCTCTTGTTGTTCAGTTCATTCGAGCTTTTCGAGCACTACGAACGGTAGCAGCCTTTATAAGTGAGGGCGGAAATTTCAGAACAAAGGAGCGGTAAACTATAATGCACTGTAAGTAAGGATGGAAGACCTAGGCGCGATCACCAACCAGTTATCAGCCACGAGACCAAGGTGGTCCCATAGACGATCATATAGAAGGTTATTTGTGACCAGCGCATTCACCACACCATTACATTTGGATTACTACGGAATTCATTCTGGTCCTCGCTCAAGCGATTTGAAGTGTAGGCCCAGTATCGTAGACAAAAAAACATAAGCAGTATAACAGAAGAAGCGCATGGATAAGTGTATTCAGTAGCTGGATAAGTGAAAACCCGCTCCCCTCGACGTGCGCAATGACGTTTTCAATCATGGCATGCGGCAAGCTGGCGCGATTGCGATACTGTGTCACTACCCTTTCCTTATCAGAAAACTTACGGTGGCAGCCACAGCGCAACCGGCTGTGAGGGTCATCAATCTTGGGAAATCACATGCACAGCCAGTTCGTGCCATTGAGTTTGTTAGAAAAAAAGGAGAGAAAATTTAAACTGGAAGAAGAGTGTTTCAAAAGCGAAGTAGATAAAAAGAAAAAAAAAACCCAAGACTTTGGATCAAAACGATCCTTACTTTGAATCATTTCTTGGGCGGATGCCAAAACTCCGCCTTGTGATCC